AGTATTGTGAGGTAACACAAAGTATTGTGAGGTAACACAAAAGTATTGTGAGGTAACACAAAGTATTGTGAGGTAACACAAAAGTATTGTGAGGTAACACAAAGTATTGTGAGGTAACACAAAGTATTGTGAGGTAACACAAAAGAAAAACATCTCCCCCTGTTCCTTCACAGGTTCTGTATTGCAGGATTGAAAGTTTTGGAGAAAAAAACCTTGAATTGTTTGTTGTTGTGAGTCCCTGAAGTTGAGAGTTGTTGAAGCACAGAAACATGTGACTGAATGTTTGTTGGTTGTGAAGAAAAGAACACAACAGTGTTGTGTTGCAGTTCTCTGCAGTTTTACTGGACGGTGAGTTTTTGTGTTGAAGTTCCTGTGGACAGTTTGATCCTTCCTGCTTTACTGTCTGACCACAGCCTCCTCCTGCTGCTCCTCCTCCTCCTCCTCCTCCTCCTCCNATCAGCTAAAATACACCCTTGATCAGCTAAAACACACCCAGATCAGCTAAAACACACCCAGATCAGCTAAAACACACGTAGATCAGCTAAAACACACGCAGATCAGCTAAAACACACCCAGATCAGCTAAAACACACCCAGATCAGCTAAAACACACCCAGATCAGCTAAAACACACGTAGATCAGCTAAAACACACGTAGCTCAGCTAAAACACATGTAGCTCAGCTAAAACACACGTAGCTCAGCTAAAACACACGTAGCTCAGCTAAACACACCGAGATCAGCTAAAACACATGTAGCTCAGCTAAAACACACGTAGCTCAGCTAAAACACACGTAGCTCAGCTAAACACACCGAGATCAGCTAAAACACACGTAGCTCAGCTAAAACACACGTAGCTCAGCTAAAACACACGTAGCTCAGCTAAAACACATGTAGCTCAGCTAAAACACACGTAGCTCAGCTAAAACACACGTAGATCAGCTGAAGTACAGCTCTTCAGCTCATATAAAACTAGTTGTTTGTTTTCTGTAGGAAGTGAAGCTGCAGAAAATCTTCTTAAACTAAAGATAAAAGAAGTTTTATCACAATGAGCTCAGCTCTGTTAGCTACGGCCATTATTTCAGTTCTTGTTGTTTTAAATCCTGCATGTGTGTGTGTGTGTGTGTGTGTCTGAATTTGATCCGGAGCTCCCAGTGGCGTTCCAGGGGAGTGTACTGAGCTGCCCCACTGCTCACTGGGAAACTCTGTTATTACAACAGGGAGCTGGGAGTCGTGCACACATATCTCTGCCCCCACGTCCCCCCATGGTTGATCAGAGAAGGAAGAAGAGTCAGAACAGGAGAGGCAGCTTCACTAACAGCTCAGCTCGGTTCTGTTTCACAACACTGAGGAAGAGGAATCATTGGAATCAAATTATAAATAATCACAACAGAATCAACATTAAAGGTTCAGGATTTAAACTGATTAAACATCTCATGACTTCACAAACCTGCAGATGTTTTTGTCTTTTTCACCACATGAGATTCTGCTGAAAGTTCTGCACAGCTGCAGCTTTGGGTTGTTAAAGAGACATCCTGTTCATCCTGCTGCAAACTTTCTCTTTGCTTTCATTCACTTTGATGTACAAGTAGCTAAAGTCTGGAACATGGTACTCATATATACGGTATATATAT